ATAATAAACTATCTAATCATTACATCATTGATCTATCCGATTTACGCATATTACCCATCCAATCATAATGAGTTATCTAATCACGGGGTCACGTGATAATCGTGAACAAGTTCACGATCGAAGTTCCGATCTACACTGTCCAACATTCCACGTACGTAGTACACCGGGTACTGGTTAACGGCACGACAGGAGCTAGACCCCCAGGACCTTCGTCCTCGAAGTCTACACATTCTTCGCCAGGGTTTTCGTTCATTCATGCTTCTCTTTGCTTCAACCTTTTAACCCGATTTCTCGTAAAAGGATCTCTTAGCTCACTACCATCCATTTCATTTAAATATAGGTATCCACCTTGACCTATTTTTCTTACCACATATGGACCAATCCACTTATAATCCAATTTACGGGGTGAGTTATCCAATGTTGAATTATATACTAGCACCAAATCACCAATCTCGATCCTTTCTTTATTTCTATTCACATGTCGATCGTGGAACTTCTTCCATCGTTCATGAAGTTCATCCCAGTTCACCTTTGCTTCTTTCAATTCGTGAACCAATCCTTTTATCTGTAGCGTTTTAAAAGTCAACAACTCATAGGTAGTCCAGTCTTGCTTGGTCATAAAGACCTGGTAACTTTCAAGCGTCAATTTCACTGGCATTATAGCATCATGACCATACACTAATCTAAAAGGTGAGTAGCCGACTTCACTTACGGTTATATTAAGGGCCCACACAGCAGCACGTAAATGTTCATGCCATCGGTTTTGTGCTTCAGCACTAACCTTCCTAATTATCTGGGTCAGTTTTTGCACTATACGCTCAGCTCTACCATTTGCTTCCGGATGGTAACTGGCGGTAAAATTCTGTTTTACTTGTACTCATGCTGTTAACTCTGCCATTATGTTATTTTTAAATTCGGTCCCTCTATCCGAAGTTAATTCAGCAAAACAACCATGTCTGGTAATTATTTCTTCCCACAAGAACATAGCAATTGACTTTGCATTTTTGTTTCTCAATGCACGTGCTTCTATATATCCAGTTAAGTCTTCAACAGCAACCACTACATGCTTGTGACCCGCGAACATTCTAGGTAAGAGACCAATACAATCGACATAGAGCTTGTGAAAAACCCAACTAGTAGCAATCACGTGAATAGGTTCCTTAAGTTGTTTACCAATACACATTTGGCATGTTAAACAAGCTGATACATAGCTTTTTACATCCTTATACACACTGACATTTCCCCATACATAGTTTAATAAGATTTTTCTGATTGTTCCTTTTATTCCACGGTGTCCACCTTCTCTTGCAAGTCCTTCATAATTCGCCTTCATTATCTCAACCTTTTCGTTATCGTTTGATATAACTCTACGTGGAGGTTTACCATCAACCGATCTTCTAAACAATTGTCCGTTTATTAAGCAGAACTTTCGGATTTTATTTTGAAGCCGGGGCAAATCCTCTTTTAATACATCACGTGGCCAACGCATGTTTTCTAGATAGAACTTGACCACCTCTAAATCCTTCGTACATTGATCGGCTTCTACTACGCTTAACAATAATAAGTCAACATACTCTTCATCCGAAGGTCGGTTTTCAGGTGTCCCAGGATTGGGATGTCATGACAATCCATCAGCATGACCATGCTTTTTACCAGACTTGTAATATATCCTAAAATCAAAAGCTTGTAAAGCAATTACCCAACGCATTAATCGTCTCTTCAACTGAGCCTTGTTAAAAAGCCATTCCAAAGCTTGGTGATCAACCCATATATCGAATATCGTTCCAGCCACATACCTCTCACACATATTACAGCCAAAAACTACACCTAATCATTCTCTTTCAGTTATTGTATAGTTTACTTCGTGTATGTTTAGCTTTCGGGATTCAAACGTTATAGGACGTAGCATGTGCTGGTCGTCCAATTGTTTCAGGACAACACCCAACGCTGTATCACTGGTGTCAGTATTCATTTGATAAGGTCGACTTCCATTTTTAGCGACTTGCCAGTTCGGTCCTTTCAACATTACATTATTCATCATTTTATGCTTTAGCAGGTAAAATGCTTTAGCTTGTTCATCGTCCCATTTAAATTTAACATTCTTTTTTGTTAACTCAGTCAGTGGTTTGGCAATTTCACTAAAATTCTTCACAAACCGGCGATAGTAGTTCACGGTACCTAGGAATACACGAACATCTTGGATGTTTTCAGGAGCTTTCCATTTACTGATTTTGTTAATACGAGCCAGATCGGGTCTTATACCTTCCTTTCCAACGATAAAGCCATACACGTTCAACTCTTTATAGAGTAGGCGGCACTTTTTGGTGGCAAAGGTGAGACCGGCATTACTAAATGTTTGTGCAAGCTTGACAAATTTGTCAACATGTTCCTCAATCGACCTCTGGGTCCAAAGACCAATATCATCCTGATATGCCGCAGCAATATACCTCCATTCATCTCCTTCAAGTAACCTATCCATTAAACGCTGGAATGTTTCACTAGTGTTTTTGAGACCCATGCACATAACAGTATAGCGCAATACACCAAGAGGGGTAGCAACAGCTACTTTGTCTCTATCCTCATCACGGATACGTATTTGCCAATAACCTTTATAGGCATCCACACAAGAGTACCAATCGTGACCTACTGCTTTTTCCAAGATGTCACGTATGATAGGTAAAGGATACCTATCTTTTATTACATATTTGTTTAATGGCCTCATGTCTCCGACCACTCTTAATTTATCGGTTCCCCCTTCCTTTTTCTTAACAGGGAAACAATGATAGGCATACTGGCCCATGCCCTTTTCCAATAGGCCATATTTCAGCATATCTCTTAGTTGGTGTTCGAACATACTAGCATGTTCTGGGTTATTTATTCATATTGGGCATACATGTATTGGCGGAATTTCTTTACTCCCAGTCCTAACTTCATATCGGATCAAATCGGTCTTTTCTATTTCAGAGATGTCGAATGCAAACACATTCAGGGTTTTGTTCATTAATTGTTCTTCGACCCACTTTCTCTCTTCAATGGAAATAGTATTCCCGAAGTTCAATTCGTTACAATTTTCCTTTGTTAGACACATTACAACACCAGGTTCCATATCAAAACCTTTTATAGTACCATCCATTCGTTCATTTTCATGTGACCAATAAAGTACTCGTCTGATGTGACCCATATCAACAAGATCACGTGAATCGATAGACTCCATTTCCCTAATGGTAAGTTTGTTAGAATTGCTTGCATGCTTTACAATATCCTCTAACCTTTCATTTTGCCACTCATTTTCTATACATGTCACGTGATTCTCAACCTCGATTCTTCGCACTACCATTACATCGTCTACATCTTCATTATCATCATCACATTCATGAATGTTGATCCAATCCTTAGGCACTACTGATACAATGAATAAAGACTTTTTATAATCAGACCCTATCTTACACTATAATTTGTTATTTTTCCATTTTAGGTTACACCTAGCTGCAGCTAGCCAAGGCATACCTAAAAGTACTTCAAAACTTGCAGCTTTCATGATGTAGAACCCTTGTATGACACCGATGCCTTCGGTTATTATTTCAACATTAGAGATATATCCCACAAATTCGCTCTAATGATCGTTGGCCATTCGACCTTTACTTGTCACAGGTTTCCAGGATAATCCTCTGCGCCTAGTGAATGATTCATGCATAAGGTTCAAACGTGAACCAGGATCTATTAGAACTTCAACTGCTTCGCCGTTTATCTCAGCTATACCAACGGGAACATTTCCTAATTTCAGATTCTTACCGGTTTGTATTCCTCTTACAATCCTAATTTCAGCATTTACTAACAATACATCACTTTCCTTTTTCTTTCTAGTTAGTGCTTTAAGCACTTCGGTTCTGGCTTTGGGAGACCATTTGAATAGTTGTCCTAAAGTTA